ATTTATTGTTCTTCTGTGTGATTATCTTTTGGTCTATTTGTTATTTCAGCAACATTCCCTCTGGATCTTGTGAGGCGAAGGATGCAGTTGGAGGGGGTTGGTGGTCGAGTTCGCATCTATAATACCGGCTTAGTTGGGACTTTTAAGCACATAATCCGGACTGAAGGCCTACGGGGCTTGTATAGAGGGATTCTGCCAGAATATTACAAGGTTGTCCCCAGTGTAGGCATTGTCTTCATGACTTACGAGACACTGAAAATGCTTTTGTCGCGCATCCAAGCAAGTGATTCATGCTTTTCTTTAGGTGTTTCTGGGATTTCCAATTCGGTTATGTGCGCCAAATGAGTGATTCTAAGGTGGGTTTTTGTATTTGTTATTGACTAGTTTGTGTTTTTGTATGGTTTTCATTTGAGAAGGATAATTTCACTAACCTGTGACTGATTTTGTGAAGTTTAGTAATTAGAGAGATTGGAAATTTCTGTATTTTAACTGTGAATTACTTCATGCTTGGATGAAACTTCTATTGGTCTGATTGATTTTGCTCTATGGATGACGAAGTGCCTCAATTTGCTATTTGCCATCTAGGATTGTCATATGTTCTCCTTTTGTTCAACTTCTGTAGGAATTGAGAACTCGCAAAGTGCCTAAGGTTTCTTTTGTTTATTCGATTACTTTGCATTTACCTGGTTTTAGTAGAATTGCTATTTGCAAATAACAAAATTTATATAGACTGCTGATCTCAAAAAATAGGAAGCTGCCTTGCCTAATGCTTGTTCTTTTTCTGGCTAATCACTTAACTAATATGTTCATTTGAATTTGAATTTATTAGGTTGGCTATCCAACATTGGGCGGATTTGCAGAGTTCGTATCTGAATTTGACATGCAAGTGTTCTTGAGACTGGTAGTGCTTTTAGCCCTGCCATGTTTGAAGGCGTTTTTAAAATTTTTACTCCAGATATACCAACTAGCATCTCGGGCAGGCCAAGGTTTGTATCTGATCTGGGTCAATAATTTTCTGTTCTAGGTTTTGTCTTTTTGTATTTTTTATTTCTATGTTGAGCCTTCTTATTGCAAATGTAATCTTTGATGGTATTGCTGGCTGAAATTGTAAGGCACGATCATTGGAAAAATATTCAGACACATGCATCTATTTGTAGTCACAAAAGTTGTCCTTCGTTGCCACTTTTTTTCTTTTAAATCCCTTATGCACTGTTTCCTTTATGTCCTTATATTGTTACTTTGTGATTCTCATAAACCTTGTATTGATCGGTAATGGTTTTCCTTCAGTATTATTAGGCTTGATTGATAATTCTCATGCTTTACAATTTGTCTGATGGCTTGAAAAAGTGCCATTGCCTGATATAGCTCATGACTAAAATGCCTGCAGTTACAATGTCTCCACTTAAATTGTTTATTTTCTGAAAACATGCTATACTTTTTTCCAATTTATTTATCTGTTTGTGGTTTATTACACATGTTGCAACCCATTTAATGTGAAATAATGGGTAGACTAAGATATTTTAGAAGTTAACTTGTGATTGGTAAAATGTTGTAACAAATAGGTTAACAATCTTCTATATTATTCTGAGTTCGCTAATATTTTCATGGACCAAGGAAAGAAGAAACCTAGAACACTTCAAGAGTAATTACCAAAGGATTAAATTTGTATTGTTTAGTTTCTTCTCTGTCTGGTGTAAATATTTATGGCAGCATGTCTATATTCTACTTTCTATTTTAAGTTGTCTATTGAAACTATTTTTGTTTTTCAGACAAGAAGATGCTCAGGAGTTCCCTTAGCTTCATTATGGATCAGATGCATGATGAATTACTTAAGCTTGAAGGACAGCCCTCGAGTATTAATGGCCTCAAATCATCTCTAGTATCTTCTGCATAATTAAGCTATATTTTTGGAGGACAATTGATCTTGATCTTGATCTTGGTTTTTCTTTTTTCTTTTTTCTTTTTTCCTACAGAGGAAAGACGAACTTTTTTTAAAGAAGGGTGGGTGACTATCAAAGAGCATTATGTCAGGCCTCCAAGATGGTGGAAAGAATTTCATCTTCAAGATGGACGCAGACATTATAGTCATCAATTTGTACTGAAATGCTGGATTTGGAATCAAAATTTTGTTACTCTTCGTTGAGCCAGCAATTTGTATATTGTATTTCAAGGGATATGTATAATGCCATAGTCTGACTGAAGTTGTATTAATTTATGCCGAGCCGTCCTTAGCTTGGGGTGGCTATCATTATCAGTATAGAATTCTGTAAGGGGAAATGTCTGATATAATCACTTTCTGCAGTTTTATCTTGACAATTTCTGTTTCTTTTCCCTTCTCTTTTCAAATTGCGCAAGAAAAAGAAAAGCCCCCAACTTGTTTATTGTATTTTTATTGCCTTTTTATTGCTCATCTATTGTCACTGTATTGCTCGTTTATTGCTACCGTATTGTTTTTGTATTGCATGTCTGTTACCACTTCATAATTTATGTGCCATTACTTTCGTATTGCTTTTGTATTGCTTTTTGGTTGGTTTTCTTAATTAATATAATTTCTTG